TTTTTCATGTAGATCTACATGTATCATAAGCATTAGAATATTCATACAATGGTAATTTACCCATTTTTAAACCATGTTAGAGCTTACTGTTCATATTATATCAAAATGTTTTATCATATCAAAAAAATTAAGTATTAACGTTACAGTCATTATAATTTATTTAGTTAATTGTTAAAATTAAATTGGTAATGAAATTAGTTTCCGTTCTGAGAAAATGAACACTAACTCACCGTAATATTAAACACTACGCCTCCACACACACTTTACTCCCACACTTGCCGTTGAGGTAATTACTCCGTTAAGTCGTTATTATTGGTATAATATTGACAAATAAGTTACTGATAATATGTAAGAGTCCTTCAATACGCAGTTTTCTGTAAAAGAAGACCGATTATAGTGCACTGTCCATATCGGAGCATAGTTAGTGCTACACTTGCATCCAAGATGGGCGGGAAGTGCATCACGAGACAGCTCTTTATTTTGTTTATTCTTGTTTGTTTTTTGCAAACACTCGAATTTTGTGTCGGCCAGGTGTATGATATCGACGACTCGACTGGCGTTGGAAGGCAATTTGATGGGATTGGAGGTATCAGTGGTGGCGGTGTAAGTTGCAAACCGGCATTTTAAAAACGCCCCTTGTCCTCGGTCCACCCCTGTCCCGCTTCATCAATATGATAGAAATCGTTATATTTGCCTGTTCGTTATGTGTGGTTAATGCAGTAGCTCACGGTATGGCATCTGAAACTAGGTTTTGACTATTGACTTCTGATACTAAGAGATTACTTGGGGTATACTATTTTTCATTTTAAACACATTGAAATACAGCTATTTATTTTTTTCCACCATATTTTATGGCTTTGAATGCCCTTTTAAAGACTTTGATTACAATTAAATGTATTGCTGTTAAATTTTGTCAAATAATGATACTTAATAGGGACTTAAGTTTTATGGCCCAATGGATTAAGACATGTGGCCGCAAGTATCATGGCACAGATCTTTATGGCCTTTTTATTGCCAAGTTCAAAATTGTGTCTAGATCATTGTATGAGCACTGATAAAGGTATCATATCAGTGGTATAGTTGTTTGGAACCTTTGCTCATGTGATTAGTGTCCCATGTATCAGCTCTAGTGATTATTGCTTGATAAAATGTGAAAAAGACTGCAATGCACCATATCACAATATTTTACATGTGTTTGTTTAACAAAACGTGAATTTGTGTACAGTTTATTAATTCCCTATACACTAATTTAATTGTCATCTTTTTAAAACAACTTTTTAAAAAATAATTGAAGGCAACATCAAAGCTTTTGGTGAATTATCCAATGAAACAGAGAGATGAAATACTTGACTATCTATTCAAGGTAAGTTACTGTAGTTGATAGGTCACTGAATTTCAATAATAGCACTATACAAGTATTACTTGCGTACTTGTAAAAATACGGCATAGTTCAAGTTATGTGTATACTGTACTGTTTCATGCTCGGCTGGTTTTTGAGATCTTAAACTCAGAGAGTATCTTTAAAATTGTTTTGTTGTTATAAGATTATTATGTTTTATTTTAAATGAGTGCATGCTAGATCAGGCAATTTTTTTCAGCCAAATTTCGGTGCTTCACTGCATATTTTCAAAGTTGAAATTGGTGGAGATTCTCAAAGCACAGGTGAGCAACAAATGTCTTGTTACCATTATACAATATTTTGATAAAAGATCACTTTTCTTTTTTTGCAGATAAATAAGACTATAACAAATTTCATCTTTAGTTGTAAAAAAATTAATACAATTTTTTAAAAAAGGTTCTATTTTATGTCATTTAAGAGGGTTGTGAAGCATCACACATGCATGAAGCGTGGGATGAAAACTACCATAGAGGCTATGAATGGTGGATGCTAACAGAGGCTAAAAAGGTGGGTGTCTCTTTTTTCAGCATGTGGAGTGGGGACCAGGTATGATCAGAGGGAGAATTCAGAGCTCAGCACTCCATGAAATGCTTCCAGAAAAAAAAATACATGAACATTGATGGAATTATAAAATGCTGCATGATTAAATGGATTTTATTTACCTAATAAGATGGTATATCAGAAATTCAGTTTGGTATATGTATCATTTTAAGATTTTGCAAAAATGCATAAGTTTGAGCACAAGCATTCATAAATGAGACATAATTTACATATATTTCAGAGAAACCCTAATATCAAGATATATGCTTTGCCGTGGGCTTTCCCTGGTTGGGTTGGGAATGGAACCAGAAACCCATATACCTATCCCAACTTAACTGCTACATATGTACTGAAGTGGGTACAGGGGGCTAAAAAGTATTACAGTGTTGATGTTGATTACATTGGGGTAAGTTTTATCAGCTATTGCATAAAGAATAGATGCAGCATCTTTTGTTAAATTCACATACCACACATGTTCTCTTGGTATACTGATTTAATTAATTTTTTATTTCATTTCATAAATCTTTTGGTTTCTTTTCATTTTAACTTCAGTACCCATAATTTTTTTCAATTGATTCAGATATGGAATGAAAGACCATACAGCACTACTTATGTTAAGGTGAGTTTTTAAATTATATTCAAGATGAATGGCATTTAATTTAAGACCAAGTGTGAATGTACATAGGCACTTTATGTGACATGTAAGGGTGGTGAGTACTTAAAATTTATTGTTGGAAAAGTTTGGTTGACTGAACATTTTGAAAAAAATGCATCAAATGTACATCAGGTTGTTCTGATCCCATAAATGAAATATTTTTATAGAATTGCATATACA